TTTCTCTAGTTCTGGCGTTTTCATTCCTCTTTCTTGAGACGTGTTCTGTGCATCGCATATGAGCAGCACTGTCATTCATTGGTGCTGGGGAACGCCTGGCCGTGACCTGATGAATCTGGCTTTCCTCCACGGCCATCTCTCTTTCTGGACCCATTTCTCACTCTCTCTCTCATTTTTATTACCTCTGTGCTGTGCCCACTCAGTAACTTCCCATTCTATTTTAACTAATTCTCTCTTCCACCATGTCTAATGAATTGTAAATTTTAATGACTCTGATTTTGGTTGATAGAAGTTCTGTTAGATTTTTTCAAATCTGTGAGTTCTTTTCTCAGTCTTGTTTTCATTTTAAGCCCCTGAGTGTTTGGAACCCACCTATCTTTTGGTTCCATTCACATCGCTGGTCCCCAGGCTCTCAAGCCCCTGGGGTGCACCACCCCCTCATCACAGCACCAGCAATGCTCACGCTTGGTGCACCTGCGCCTTTCCTTCTGTGGGCTCATCTGGGGGCCTTTGCATGAGAAAACCCCAAGGCCTATGCCATGAGAGCGCCCCCCTGGGGCAGCAATTCTCCGTGGTGGTCCTGCCAACTGCGGGGGGTCCTGGAGGCCCTTCCAAGCTATCTGTGCAATCAGAATCGTGTTCACACTAGTCCAAAGACGTTGACATTTATACCAACGGCACAGAAGTGGTGAGTAGACATGCTGGCACCTTGGCATGAAGGCATGAATCCAGGCAGTGCCACCACACTTATCCTTAATGCCACACACTCACACTTTAAATAGAAAAGGCAACTTCACTTAAGGATGGCCTTGGTGCAGCAGGAAAAGTTCCTGACTTTATTATTAACAGTGTGTACATCTGAACCCTGAGTAAACATCTTTTCAATATTCTGTGCAGCGACTGGGAAGGACACAGAAAGCACCTGGGCTTGTACAGAAATGCCCTGGGTGCCCCTGAGCTGTGAGCGGGGACAGAGCATCCGTCAGGAGACATCTTTGCTTGAACGAACAACTAACAGGCAAACGGGTCGTTCAGACCTGGGCATGTGGCAGACATTTTCCCAAAAGTGAACAAAGTTAGCCTATCACTTCAAGGAAGACAACTGGCAGTATTTGTTGCCTGTAATAGTATTTGAGCTTTTAAGCCAAAAATTCAAATTTTGGAGAACTTTTATCCACCACTCTGGGCCTGACGCTTCTTCTCATGAGACGGGGCAACACCAGCAAATGTGACTTACTGATGCTGTCAGCGCCGACGGACAGGTCAGCATTTAGAGGGTCTGCAAACCTCGGCCACCCGATATTCTGCAAATGACCAGTGTCTGGCATCACAGAAACTTAAGTGGGCAAAAGACCCACTCAAAATGTAAGACAGGCCAGTGGATTTAATGTGTCACAAGTGTCACAAAGTGGTCATTGATACGGCTTCAGATTTCACGTGACATGGAGCCTTTAAGAATCCAGTGTTTGTTAACCTGTGCTATAGTATTAAGGGGAAAACATCCGCCGCGATTATCTGAAAGGGATATTAGAATGCTCCTCCCTTTCCAATTACCTATCTGTGGTGGCCTGTTTTCTCCACATACGCCAACCAAAAAAGCCCTAATACAGCAGACTGGGTGTAGAAGCTAGGCAAGAACTCAGCTGTCTTCTATTAAGCTAGACAGTAAAGAGGTTTTATTTTCTTTTTAAAGTAAACCGGTGTCTTTCTTCTCACTAAATATTTTTGCTTTGGAAACTATTAATTTGTCACAAAAATACATTACTTATAACAGCATATATGGGTTCATCATTGTTATTTTAAAATAAATTAGTAAATATTTCAGTATCTCAGTCTGAGGACCTAACAGGGTAAACATGGACAGAATTAACTCCATGAGTAAAAGCTCTCCGCTCCTAGCGCTCGCTCAGAACGCACGGCAGGCCTGAGGCACGCAGCTGGGGAGGCCTCCCCAGGAGAGCCGGTTCACCTCTGCTCCCGGGCGGCACCTGGGTTTCCCTGGGCAGGACCAGTTTGGACCTACTTTGATGCCAGGGCAGTGGGACCTCAACTCTTGGCCATCGCTGTGCCTGATGACCGCCCTCAAACTCACCAGAGCGGGCTTGTGGCTCATCGTCCCGTGTTCAGGGAGGACAGCCTTGTTCCGGAGCCCAGCTGTGCACCTAGACAATTTCTGGTCAGTGTCACCCCGAGCGTCCCAGCACTTGCTGGGCAGGGGGCTGTCTTGTTCTTTTCCCTGGTTTGCCGTCGCCCTGGAACCAGAGGCTCCTGCCCAGCACTGCGCCAACCAGTCCTCTCCCAGCACCCCCGCCCCCAGGGGCCAGCAAGGGATGGTGATGCACGCAGCACTGGCAGACGGCGGGCGCTCGCCATGCTCCGGCCAAACACAGACTGCAGAGTCTCAGACTGAGGCCCCGAGGGGATCCAGTGCAGAACCACTCCCACCGAGAAAGCGCAACAGACAGGTGTCTGTCCTCTAGAAGGTCTATGGCAAAAAGGAACTCATTTCTGCTTATTTCAGCTGGAGACAGTGGAAAGCAGAGTAGAAAACCACAGGCTCCAGGGCTAAATGGGGACTCCACACAAGCCCTCGGACCTTGGGCAAAGTGGCTTCAGCTCCGTGTGCAGCTGCGCAACGTCTGCTCTGCTGTGAGGCTGAGTGCCAATGAGCCTGACACCCGCTGGCCATCGTCTCCTCACCGTCGTCCACACTACGACTGCCGACCCATCCCAGGAAGTCCTGCCGTCCTCCTGACAAGTCAGCCCAGGGACTCTGGGTCCCGAAGCCCCTGGCAGAGCTCTGAGCACAAGGTGCTAAATACACCCAACTTCACAAAGGGCAGGGAACAGCTAAAGGCCAGGCAGGATGTCTGCACTTAACACCAAACCAAATTTGGGGGAACTTTTATCTGCCACTCTGGGCTTGACAGCTTCTTCTTAGGAGATAGGGGGACACCGACGAACATGACTTTTTGCTTTCAACCCTGCTGCTTTCAACCAGGGCACCAATGTGCTGAGAAGGTGCCTAAGGAGGATGGTTCCAGCCGTTCTGAGCAGAGCGGAGGGAGAGGGTGGGGCCAGGAGTGGCAGCCAGGATGCAGAGGCAGAACCGCAGACGGCCGCTCGCAGCCCTGGAGGGCCGGCAACCCAGTGCACTCCCCCTGGATTTACATCCGTCTCCCCACGGAAGGTTGCGGCGGTACCTGCAGACACTACCAACAGCCAGGGAGCCCGCCTGGGTCTCTGGGGACGACCTCCCTCAGGGAACACCAGCAGACCTCCCCAGGCGCCCGCGGCAGTAAGACTGGCACCCCTGAACTTCTGCTCAAGTGAGGACCACTTGGAATCAGTCATAACCAAGTGAAGATGGACGGATGGCCACCACGGTCCGCTGCACACGGCACACCCAAGCACCGGGGAAGCATGTGCCCTCCGTGCCACCCTGCCAAGAAACCTTTCATCAGACGATGAACCTCGGGTGAAAAATGAAAAGTCGGCATCGATTCCCTTGCAGAGCTGATTTTATTTACAAACAGAAGTGGGATATTCTTGTATTTCAACGGCAGAAATTCCATCACTCTCAATTACAAAAGTGACATTGAAATTTATAATGTTTCACATGATAATTCAATCCTTTTTCTAAGGGGGAAAAAAATCTCAAGTTTTGGGAAGAAGGCTAAAAAATATGAAAACATTAACAATGTAGGAAAATGACGAACCGACACTTGGGCCAAAACGTGCTCCAGCGGGTATCTTTCTTCACAATACACAACACGAGTCGTGAGGAGGCACTGACTGGCTCTCAGAGCCAAGGCTTCTGTTCTCCAGTCCCGGGAGGGGCCTCTGCTTTCGCTCAACCCCTAAGTTACCAGCCACAGGAACCCACACCATTTCCTTCAACACAGTCATTCCAGCTAATTCACTCAGACCAAACCGCAGGGCCTAAGTCTCTAGACCGTCCCTTATAAAAGCCGTACTGGGCCATTTCAGATCGAGAAGCTTAGCTGCAGCTCTCCTGCTGATGGCATCAGGAACGGCAGCATGAAAGGGGCTCTAGAAGGGCCGGAGCCTGACGGGAGGTGCAGCCCCACCCCTCCCCGCTCAGGGTGGGGGCACCCTTCTCACCTAGGGCAAAGGGTCCTGGCAGGGTGCACACACACCCACACAGACTCCATCCCGTGGTCGGGGTGGAGGCGCCCCCCTCACCTGGGACACAGGGTCCTGGCAGCGTGCACAGACACCCACACAGCCTCCATCCCATGGCAGTCATCTACGTGATAGACCCCCCACAAGCAAGGGGCCAGAATAAACCTTAGACATGAAGCCCCTCAGAACACATCCATCAACCAAAACCCTTCTCGGGCTGTCCCCTCCACTGCCTGCCAGGTCCCCCTTGGCCCACGCCTGGGCCTCCTGGAGCACAGGGCACGCTCCTGACGCCGCCCTTGGGAGCCTGCCCCACCCCTCGCTGAGCTCCTCAGGAGGCCCCCGCTGTCCCGGGAGGGCATAGCACCCAGCACCAAGCAGGTGTCTAGGAAAAGTGTGTGGGTACAAAATAAGCCCAAGATGCCCCACGCCCACTGCAGGGCCGTCCCCCTACCTGGGCCTCCTGCTGCCATGCCAGGTCTCCAGGCCTCAGCTGCTGCTCTCCGCCTGCCAGTGATATCCTCCCGGACACTGGGTAGGATCCCTCCCCGAAACTATTCCACAAAATCATCGTGGCCCTGGGAGACCTATGGCTTTTCTGAACAGAGCCCGGCCATAGAGCCAGCTGACCCCAAGTCCAGCAGAGCCCCAGCCTCGGGGAGCAGGCTCCCTCCAGCCGGCACTTCCCTCTGGGGCCACATTACCAGCACTCAGATCCCTGGCAGGGCCGGCAGGAACGGTGGGGCCGGCTGATCACAGGCCCCCCTGCCACAGATAAGGCCCTAACCCAACGCCTTTCAGGCGCAGGTGGCTCTGAAAACAGTTCATCATGTACGGACAAGGGAACCGCTTACTGACAACAGCCCACGTGTGGCGCTCGTGCCGCCCAGAGTCCAGGCAGCGGGCCAAGGAGGCTGTGTCCACCGTGCAGAGGCCAGCCCTACCCCTCAGGGCCCTGCACCGTGCCCTCCAGCGGGAACTCTCAGAACCAGGGTGCAGCCTCACACACACATACATGCACATGGTACTTCCCACACCTGGTCAACCCTGAGGGGCAGGTTCTAGTCCAGCCAGAGAAACGCAGGCCTCAGAAGGTAGCAGGCTGCGTGCCGCGAGGCCAGCCCCGGGCTCACCTGGATGCCGTCCAGCAGCTTGCTCATGCACCAGTACGTGTCGGCCTCCACGTCGCGCAGCACCTCGGCGGGCACGCGGGAGACGTCAGCCACATCCACACCTTCCTCCTCTGGGTGCACAGAGCATGGAGAAGACAAACAGCGGTTAGTGCACAGAACAAACCCAGCCGCGCAGAGCCCCCTGCCGTCCAGCCCCGTCCCATCGGTCCCGCTCTGACTGGAGGGCGTGCAACATCTTCCACCTCATCACTTACTGGCTCCCAATTTCAATACCTAATTAGCTGCAGATAATTAATATTCTGAATCCTCTCCAATTAACATAATTAATATATTATAAATTATTGCTTGTCAGGCATTCCACATCCTATTAGGAGAGAACTTAAATATATTGCTCATTCCTAACAGATCTGAAGATTTTTCAAATTCCTCCTTTTAATATATTCACATATTCATTTGGTAATAATTCCTTTAAAAACCTGTTTCCATGGTTAGGGCTCCTGAACCACCACACTGGGTAAATACATCTACACTGTGAGCAAATACCCAAGAGAACAGGAGTACAGGGTGTGTGAAAGAACAAGCAATAGTGCTCTAAATAATTTCTTCTTCAAGGACCAAATCCTAATGAGAAAAAAATAACTTTAAAGTTTTAAAATGCAAAACAGATGCGTAATTAAAATGGCTTCTCAGTCATCTGAGCAAACTAATTTTAGACCCTTACAAAAATTGCTATCATCCAGCATAACACTCATAAATGTTTAAAAAATTGTGTTTCCTATTTTTTTAATTTTACTTACTTTTGTTTTATTTTGCAAATGTACACAGCATCTTTGCAAGGAAAACGTTCCTTCAGAAAAGAAACACGTCAGCCCAGAGAATACTAGAAAATTCTAGGCGGGTCAGAATGGCCATGACTGTGACGGCCAGCATCGCTGGGCGGCTGCGGCACGCCAGGCGCTCCTCCACGTTTCAGACGGATTACCTCTTTTCACCCTCGTCACAGTGCCATTATCACCACCACTGGGCCCCTTGGAAAATGGGGCTCAA